TATAATACATATATTATTATTATTATTAAAGTTTATTTGTATAAGGCCATAAAATCTACATGGCCCTTTACAGAAACAAACATTGCAGCGTACAACTTGTTTAATTTTTATTCTCAGTTTGCTCCAGAGAGTGGCATAGACTTTGAAAACCTAAATTTTGAGTTGACCCTCGAGAGGGTGTTGTCTGAATTTCCCATCATTTTCACCAAGTTGCATGGTGGCATATTTTATTTTATTTTATTTTATTTTATTTTATTTTATTTTAAACCGAGCAGAACTGAGGGAAGCCTCAAACCAGCCTTTTGCATCAACGGCGGCCCTCGGTTCGCTTCTGGCTATCTTTAGTTTGTGGTTAGCTCCCGGCTGTTCAGCAAAGTAGGTTTTAGCAAAGAGCAGAAGAAAGATGGAGGCCTGTCTTACGATTTCCTCCTCCCTTCCTCAGGCCTCTTTTCGCCGGGGAGAAAGAAAAATATTATTTAAAAAAAAGACCAGGGAGGAGAGGATGGACAGCAGGAAATGACAGAGCAGATTAAAAAAGACCTGACTTCAGCCCATGTCAGCTGTGTAAAGATACAAAAGGGCCAGCTAAAAAAGGGGAGAAAATAAGGGGGATCCCTTCTTTGCCCCCCAAAAAGTACTTTTAATGGGAAGACAGGAGAGGGCCTTCTTGGTGGGTGCTCCCATGCTTTGCAGTTCTCTTCCTAGAAAGGTGAAGCCGTCACCTTCTTTGCTACTCCGCTTTAGGAAGGTGAAAACCTAACTTAATGAGGGTTGCCATTGCTATGCTCTGAGGCTGAGACAGTGTGACTTCCCCAAGGTCACCCAGTGTTTTTTTTTTAATGCTTGAGCAGGGAATTGAACCCTGATCTCCAGAGTCATACGTCAACACTCAAACCACTATACCACACTCGCTTCTGATACTGGAGGTAATATATAGCCGTCAACCGGTCAACTCTGATCCATGGCAACCCTCTCCTAGGGTTTTCTTGGACAGATTTCTTCAGAGTAGGTGGTTTGTCTGTGACTTCCTCTGAGGCTGAGAGAGTGTGACTTGCCCAAGTTCAAAGTTCAGAGATTCAAAGCTTGGTCTCTTGGAATCCTTGGCCAACACTCAAACCAGGTTGGCACCAAAAACTACGTTTTTCTTGGCAATATTTGTTTGGAGGAGGCTGAGAGAATGTGACTTTCCCAAGTTCACCCGGTGGGTTTACATGGCTGAGTAGGGTCTCAAAGCCTGGTCTCCTGGAGTCCTAGACCACTATATCAAACTGTCTCTGTCTGCCATCGTGATTAGTTGGCATTAATAACCCACTCCACCTTTGCAGTTTGATGGAGATTAAAAAGCCTGGGAGAAAGGTGGCATATATATAAGATAAAGAAATAAAAATAATTAAAATCTGAGTGTCCAGGAGGGGAAAAACAGGATTAGTGGCAATGCGATAGCTACCTGCAACCTGTTTCCTGCATTTAACTACTAGTTGGAGTTAGGCCCTCCAATTTGCTTAGCCTTTTTCTCCATTTGTTGCAAGCGTTTTGCAAATGATATTGTGCCTGAATCTTGCACAAAGAAAAAGTGTTTTAGAGGAGCAGGAGCCGAAGCCGCTAGAGGCAGAAAAGGGCGGCGGAAGCCTGGCTTTTGCAAGATTTAAGCTGACTGTGGCGAAGCACGTAACGCAAGTCTTTAGTGTCACACACATACGATTGTGAACTTCCCCAGAGAGGAGAATCCTGAACAAATAGACCTGTGTTTGCAGCAAAGGAGGGAGGCCAGAGAAAGAAAGAGAGGACAGACAGACACACTTGGAAAAATGCATGAATCATGATCACGTTCGACTTCCAAGATCAAAACTGCTGACACAGGCAGGCTGTACAGCTGGCTCCTAGGCTGCGGTAGAATTCCCTTTTTAGAAAATGTCTCACTGTGGGTAACCTTGCCTGGGGAGCAGCATTTCGGGAGGAAGGCCAACGCTTGCTTGCCGAAGCAGGACTGGCTCCTGCATTCACAAAGAGGTCAGGCTGCACCTGGAAAGCAGGCGAGAAAAAAGAGTCGGAAGAGTTGGAAGAGGCCTCAAGGGCCATCCAGGTCAAACCCATTCTGACATGCAGGAACTCAAAATCAAAGCACTCGCCAGAGATGGCCAGCCAGGCTCTGTTTAAATCTGAATTTACAGGACTTGAGCAGAGCAATGGAGAACAGAGGGTCTTGGAGATGTCTCATCCACAGGGTTGCTAAGGTTGACTTGAAAGTAGCTAACAACAAAGGCTGCTTAAGCTTGCCTTGTAAAATTTTTCTGAAAATTTCATATTTTTCTCGGGGGAAAAAACGTATTTCATGACTTTAAACTTTCCTCAAATTTTGCATTTGGAGCCAGATCCGGAGTGCAGTCTTAGAGATCCAACTTCATTGCCAACTGTGTATATCAGGGGTAGGTAACCTAAGGCCTGGGGGATGGATGCGACCCCCCGAGGCCTTTGGACCGGCCCCAGGCCAGTCCTGCCGCCACCGCCGCCGCCTGCCATGATGATATTGATTATTGCTGTTGTTATTTGTTCTTGGGCTTTTCTTGGCAAAATCTCCAGAGGGGTTTTGCCATGGCTTTTCTGGGGCTGAGAGAGTGTGCATACATATTTTTAAAATTTATTTATTTATTTATTTATTTTTGGTGCTTCGGCCCCCCAATTGTTTGAGGGACAGCAACCCGGCCCCCGGCTCAAAAAGGTTGCCTACCCCTGGTGTATATGGTTGGAAGTGGCTGAACATTTTTTGATGTTTCAGTTTTTTATTTCTAAATGTACATTACTTCTATAGCTGAATATACTTTTCCTCCCATTGGCCACTAAAAAGCAGATGAACAAAATCAAAGCTATATCCCTTTGGAAAACAGGTAAGTTAACTGGCTCACATCATCCATTTGGGTCATTATTACACCCAATTTCTCATTGTCACAGAGAAGCCAAGGCAAAAGGACAGGATTGACCTTTACAATTAAGATTCATCCTCTTTTCAGTATGTGATTTGACAAGTTCCCAAGTGCTACCAAACAATTGGATCCAATCCTTCGTCTACATGATTTTGTGGCAGATCCTTGGTTGTTCTTCACTTTGAGTAAAATCCTTCACTCTTCCTTTCTCCCAACTGTCTTCCCAATCTCTAAACCAGGGGTAGGCAACCTTTCCCCTTTAAGGGCCGAAGGACTTCAGCTCCCAGAAGCCTCAGCCATGTTGGCCAATAGCTCCTGGGATTCTGGGAGCTGAAGTCCCTTGGCACTTAAAGGGGAAAGGTTGCCTACCCTTGCTCTAAACTGAGGAAGAAGTTTGAGGCATGTTAAAACCAGAGTTGGAAGAGACACCAGGGCCACCCATGCAGGAAGATGCATAGCCATCCATCCAACCTCTCTAAAAACAGTCAAAGGAGACTCCATCACTTTTTGAGGCTGCTTCTTCCACAGTTGAACAGCTCTTACAATCAGGAAGTTCTTCCTAACATTGACGTGGAATCCCTTTTTCTATAGTTTGCATCCATTGCTGTGTCCTATTATCTGTAGCAGCAGAAAACAAGCTTTCTCCATCCTCAATACAACATCCCTTCAAATACTTAAAACAGGGCTCTCATATCACCTCTTAACTGTCTCTTCTCCAGGTGAAACATACTCAGCAGCTCCCTAAGTCTCTCCTCAAAGGGCTTCATGATTTCCAGACCCTTCACCATTTTGGTTGCCCTCCTTTAGACACTCTCCAGCTTCTTGAATTGTGCTGCCCACAACTGGACACAAAGCAACCTTCAAGACAAATTAAAAAAACTTATTCTGCATAATTTTTTTCCACACTAGACCAGAAATAGGATCTCCCTTAAGAACAGTTAACTAGGTTGCTAAGTATTCTTTTGGCGGTTCTTTTAAAAGTGAGGTAGGTTCACATTTGTATTTCAGATATGTTTCAGTCAGGGATCTTAAAAACGCATCAAACTTTCTTCTGAGGGAGGCTAGGCTTTCCCCCTCCTATGTGTCCTTCTGCCAGCAGGCAAAAAACCTTTTATTGAGTCCAGTTTTTGGCAACTGAACGGTGGCTGAGGAAGGGGCTTTTAGCAGTTGGGTGATGTACCTTTTCCCCCTCTCATGTGCTTTTAAAAGTGCTTTTTATTCAGTTGGCTGTAGACTACAAGAGCTGTCTTAGTAATGGAGGTGCAAGATGGCCACTCCTGCATCATAATTTGTGTTACCTAGGACCTAACTTCTCTCAGGCTGCTCTATGAGTAAGGTACTCATCTATTTACCAGTGGCAAAGATGACACCTAGTGGTACCTTCCACTTGTGCTGCAATTTTGATAAGAAATTAATCTTGCTGAGTATTCTGAGGCCTTACTGTATCCAAACAGCTGTAATAAAGTCAATTAAACTCTAGGTTGCAGTATATTTTGCTTTCTCCTTCCATAATTTAATTCGTACAGAAGCCCACGTTTTACACAAGACTTCACCATTCTGAAAACAGACCAAGCTTTAAAGTAATTTATTTAGTACAAGTCAACTCAAAAGATTTTTAAAAAACAAACAAACAAAAATCACTACTAAGGAAGCATGCAAAAGGTTTATTTTTAAAAAATACTGTCTGCTGTCAGTTTCCGATGATCCAGTAAGTGCATGGAGATGGGTTAACAACTTTGTACTTCACCAGGCTTATTTTGTAAGTGCAAAAAAATAATAATTAATAAATAATTAAGTAGCTGAAGAAAAGCAAGGCAACACTCCCCATGTCCCAACACCAAGTTGAAATGCTGCAATCTGAGCAACAGATGAACTGCAAGCATTAGCACTTGTATATACACAAATACAATCAAGACAAATACAGTCATCTTGTAAAAAAGAAATGGTACCACTGGATAATATTTTACATATGCACATTTATTGGAGGTGGGGAAACTAACTCTCCACAGGCAAAATAGTAATACACGTAACAGAGGCACGTTTGGCCCAAGTATGGTACTTATTACAATTCCAAACAAACACTTTTAGAAGCAAAATGCTAAGTATGGAAAACCAAATGTTCTCTTTTAGAATGTTCTTTCCCCCTCCCCTTCTCAGCCAGACAAGTATTGCCAGAGACTGCATGCTTTACCAGTTTAGCACAATCTCACGTCAAGTTCAGTGCTATTATCTTACCAAAATAAAAGGAACAAAATAATAATAATCAAAGTTGTACTTTGACAACAAGAGCATGTGAATTACAAACATTCAGAACTGGAAGCGTACATTTCTGGCAGACAACGTTGCCTATTAAATACAGACCAGCCAGCACTCACAGAACATAAAAAAGGGTTTCAATCATAAAAAAATACTATAATTCATCACCAGACTATTTTTTTACAGTTATAAATAATAAATAGCATAACACAGTAGATTACAAATGAGTCTCTCTCCCTCCCTCCCTCTCCATTTTTAAAGCACAGTTAGGTCTTATAAGAAGTAATAAATCATGTGCAGCACCCCAAACTTACCCAGGGTAACACAGCAGGCCTGCTCCTCACATCTTACATATAAGCTCCTTATGTCAAACTATAAGCAGAACTAGCATCCAAACAAACTGTAAAGCCTTTATTAAAATTAACATTAGCTTATTGGTCTGCTGTCTCCAAGCTGGACCCAACAGGCTGTTCTGACGATATAAAGCAGTGAGTCACAATCACAGAACAGCTGGGGCTGCTGGCAGAATTCCCCTTCATAACCTCAAGTACCTCAAGGAGCAACCAAGGGAAAAGCAGTAGTGGCAACAGCACCTGATACAAGCACTCTTTACAACAAAGGTCCTTTCCCCCACCCAAACCCTCTGCTTTACATTCCTCCATTTTGTGACTATGTCCCCCAAAGGCACAAACACATCTCAGTGCCACAAGGGCCACTGACTGCTTGATAAATTCT